ACAGTAACAATTTCCCAGACTTGGGCAACAGTGATCCCAGGGTTACCACCTCCAATGGGCCAGCACCGTTGGCACTGCAGAAGATTCTTATCACGCAACTGACAAACACCTAGTGTCATAAATCTTAAAAGAGAGCCTTTATTAACCTAAAAAGACCACCACAGATACAATACGGGTTGAGCAAGTATGTTCTTTAGCAACTTTACCTCACTGTCCCTGTTTCCTCATTTAAAAATGGGGCTATAACAGAAGCTACATAAGACTACTAGCAGGCTTTCATGAGTAAACTCAATGTGGCATGGCAGGGCCCAAATAAGGGCTCAATAGCAAGGGATGTCATTATCACTGGCTGTTAAACCTTCTGTCAAGCCCACTAGCTGCCTGTGGAATCGGAGTCACCAGAGACCATTAATTGTTCCATTTATTAAACACTTACGGGCCAGGGATTTAGCTCAGTGGCAGCGCAAGCTCCTGAGGTTCGATCTTTGGTACCCAAAAAAAAAAAAAAAAAAAACACTGAACAAGTGCAATGCCTACAACTCATCAGGCAGTCATTTAACTCCTACTTTCCTCACCTGCTAAACAGGAAATAATAGAACCTGCTGCAGTACTATCTGGAAGTACTAACTGAGGTAACACCTCTAAAAGACTGCACAGTGCCTGGGACACAGCAGGTCTCGATAAAATGTATCATTAATCCCTACACATCTCCCTTGTAAGCCTGGAAGTTACTTGGAATACCCTAATGTACCTATTTGGTCCCAAGACCGCTGGGTCCTTGAACCTTGCTGATACACAACACATACCTCTTGCATGTAATCTGAGGACTCACACAATCCCTGTTTACTTACACCATTACCCACCTAAAACGCAAGAATAATAAAAAAAAGCAACAGCCATGCATTACCCGAGGTAAACATATCATTAAGCTTCATGCATCAGCTCCTCACAACACCTTCACTTTCTGAGGTCTGGAAGTCCCAGCAGCTACTACTCCCGTGGCTAATTTCAGCGAAAAACTGCGAGGTGAGCACTTTGCTCCACTACGGCCGCTTCCTTCCCCCAGAGAGCACGCTGCCTCTGCACCCGCGGCGCCCGCGTTCGTTCTCTCCGCAAAGCTGGGGTCTACCTTGCGGGTACAACCGGGACACAAACTATTCCGGCCACGAGCGAGGGGAAGGCCACCACCACGAACAAAAGAACGCCAACTCGCCGTCCCGGCCCGTGCGGCTTGTGTCTGGGATAAACTTGCGTCCCACGCGCCCCCCGCGAGCGGCTCACGGCTTTGTCCGCGGAGAGCGCGCCGGTCCGGCCAACTTTTCCATAAAGATGGTGCCACTCTCTCCAGGAGCAAAAGCTCACGACGCGGGCCGCCGGCGCGGGCCAGCCTTACCTCCACGGCGCCGAGTTGGCTGGCCC